CAGTATTATTATTCAGTCATGTTGATTCCATAAACTTTTTCAAATCATCAAACAACAATATATAATGTGCTGTTGAGAAATATGAATGTGAGTAACTCAAAGCTTGCTCGTCCCTTGGCTTAACCCGTTTCATCCTAAATTTTTCCCAGACATGAAAATATCCAAAAGTCATTAGTAACCCGATGAAATAATCAATAATTATTTTTTTGGAAAAGTGTGTGAAAAATTGTGTTTTATGGTCAGTCATAATTGTGACCGGTGGGATAATGTGAGCACTGAATTAACATATTTCTGCAGTCATAAAAATGATCTTAGCCCAGCTATTTTAAACAGTTTGATCACATTCTAGGTTATTATTATTACGCATTAAAAAAAAACCTTATGCAACATTGATAGAGAAAAAAATTCAACCATCAACGCATTTCAAAATTGTGACTTTTTGTCAAATATAACATCAAATTGTTATATTAGTGCTACCAGTATTACATCAATATTGTACATTTTTTGTAACATTTGAAATTTTAATCCAGTGCGATATTTTGTCATTGCAACATTTTAGTGTCATTTTCACTAACTATTGTAAACCTAAGTTCAGTGTTGTGATCATCAAGATGTTTCCTCGTTCTATGACCACACTCAACAAAACTCAATATATCTGAATTCATATATTAATACTAGACACTTTAAAGATAATGTGGACCACAAATCTTTGTCATATCTTTATGTTAACATACTTCACGAGCCTTTTGTTGTGGAGCTTTGATGCAGTCATCATCTTCTCAAGATGCAAACATGAATTAAACTGCTCTGGTCATGTGACTGTTTGCACTAATCATGTGACACTGCACATATTTCATTGAGACCCTTTATTTTTTCCATATTTGCAGCAAGTGCACTAAAACATCAGTCAGTAAGGTTTTTAGAGCTTTATAAATGAAAACCTTTTTTTACGGTCTCTATTGTGACCGGTGGGATTAAATGGGTTAATGTACACCTGAGACAGTTAACGCAGGTGCCCAGGGCCCCAGACCAGAGGGGCCCAGCCAAAGGCTTTTACATCGGTCTGTGCCCAGCTCTCTTCAATACATTCATAACTGATGATGATGATTTGAAAAAGTTTCTTTTGCTTGATCACAGGTAGTGCCCTCAGCGGTGGGCGGGACTAACTCACACGCAACAATCCTATTGGTTGAGAATGTGATGACTGACTCGACAGCTGCCGGAGATCAGCAGCAAACTAGAAGCAGCACGCGCTGCTGAACCCGGTTCCAGCAGATCTGAATGCGGTGAGTTCATGCTCCTCGAGTTTGGATGTGAATAACTCTCGGCGTGTTTTTAATGTTGTGTCTCATTATTGTTAGTCTGCTCGCGCTGCTTGATGTTGCGAACCGATATGAATGTGTTGTTGTAATTCTGAACACGCTGCTTTGTTGCGATGCAGGTGCACTTACCAGAATTAACCTGGTTTTACTGCAAATAAAAAGAAAAACACATGGTTATTGTTCTTAAACTGTGCTAACCATGAATTACCAATGGCTTTGCTAGTTTAACCGTGATATTTGTAGTGATTATACAAATGGTATAAAAAAACGTTACTATACTTTTATTAGAATAAAAACATGGTTATTTTTTTGTAAGAGTAGTTTCACTTTATGCTTGTAGTTTATTAATGAATCTGAGATATTGCACATCCACAGACAATAGCTTGGGCCTACTTCTGCGTATCAAAATAAGCTGGATATCTGTCATCTTCATGTTAGCAGCCCTGTCTCCTGAAACTGATTCAGCTCAGCATGTGTCCTGCATTAAGGCACTTTTATGACCGATGTGAATTAAAAGTCTTAAAATTTAAATATGCATATGTACAATGAATTGTGTTATTCTCCACAGCTCCACAAAATTATGGAAGTTGACATTTACAGTCTTTTTTTAATGTTTAACTTCCGTCTTGTATGTGTGTCGGAGACTTGAGACAATAGCTTGGGCCTACTTCTGCGTATCAAAATAAGCTGGATATCTGTCATCTTCATGTTAGCAGCCCTGTCTCCTGAAACTGATTCAGCTCAGCATGTGTCCTGCATTAAGGCACTTTTATGACCGATGTGAATTAAAAGTCTTAAAATTTAAATATGCATATGTACAATGAATTGTGTTATTCTCCACAGCTCCACAAAATCATGGAAGTTGACATTTACAGTCTTTTTTTAATGTTTAACTTCCGTCTTGTATGTGTGTCTATGTTGAAGAAAATGTTTCCATTAAATGAGAAAAACACAAAGAAGATGGAGAGAAAGCAACGACTTTGATCTTCATGAGATTGAAAACTGCTGCACTTACAGTACGTCTGAATTTACGTTTGTAAAGTTTTACTAAAAGACCTTTTACTTGCTGAAAAACCCCATAAACTCTCAAAACTATATAAAGGTAGAAATTCAAGTATCAAATATGATGCATGCTTCATTTGTGTTGCAGTTTCCAATGAGTACCTCACCACGACTTTCTGTTTGTAACCTTCAGCTTCAGTTTTTTTTTTGGCATTTGCAATATTTTCAATAGGTTTCTAATCTAAATTTGCAATAAGTTTCTGGAAGCAGATATTCATGTTAAAACGTCGTGCATTTAATCAAATAATTACAATCCGTAAACCTAAAAGTTATTTTGCTTGGGAAATGTATTTTGCATAAATAGAAGGTGCTGGCCATTAAATCCAGATTATTTATTTATTTTGTATTGATAAAAAATATTTTATTTTTTTGATGACCTACTAATTTAATATTTCAGTGTTGTAATTTATGCTAAACTTGTAAGTATACCATGTAGGCTGTACATATATAATGTATACATTATATATGCATGTTTTGCATCAAATTGCAAGATAATTAAAAATGATAAACAATTGTTTATAAATATAAGTAGCTCCGAATGCTTTAACTTTTAAATAGCTGTAGCGCAAATTTAATTTAAAAATCTTGATTCATTTCAAATGTATTATTTTGAAGGTATTTAAGGTAAAATGACCTGGATATGAGATTCGCTCTAATATAATATTCTGATATCAACAATAATAATTATTATTTGTATTAAATATGATTTGTACCGCAACAGAATAGCGTCAAGAGCAGATTTACACCTACATAAACACAAATGTTCCTATATTTATCAGTCTAATCTCACACTTTAGGCTGTTTTATTAATTCTAAGAGCCGCTTATTATTCAGTTATGGATTACGGAGGACCTTATTGCGTGCGCTCGTCATCACGCTGTGCGTAAGAGGAGACGCGCCTGATGACGACACACGCTCGGATTTAAACGCGTCGCGTGCGCTCTCGGTACCGGAACGACACTCGGTTTATTCGTCTGACTTTCTCCGGTCGGCTGCGTCACGATGCGTGAGTAAGTCGAACTTTTGTCCCTCTAAATGTCTAAATGACTCTTTCCACACTTTTTAGAGCTCGGGTGAATCTCACGAAAACTATCCAGGTCGTTATTTCACTATTAAAAATAAAAAAATATGTACGTTGTTGTTTTTAGTTATCATTTAATTAGTATTATTTTCATGACAAGGAAAACTACTCGAGTATAATACTTCGCAAAAAAAATCAAAAAATCAAAAAACGTAATGTTTCTATTAAAATAAAATAAAAGTCCTTATATTGATTTGTTTATTTTGGAATGAATGCGATTCACAATGTGTTTCTTATACTGTATATACACTGAAAAAACATTGTGTAGAAACTATTTTCACTCAGAAATTGGTAGTAAATTTCACATTACGTGTGAAATTGACTAAATATTACTCAAATATTTTATTTACTTTTGGGGGAAAAAAAAATCAAATGCACCAATCAATAGTTTAGTGTTTTATTTGTTTGCATCAATATTGTTTGTAAATATATTCCATTATGTTGCGGTGATATATACTGTATATAAGTCGCTTTGGATAAAAGTGTCTGCTAAATGATTAAATGTAAATGTATAAGTAAGCACCACTTGGTATCATGGAAATGAAATAATATATATATATTGAATTTATAAAT